CCCGTTTCCGAACAGAGAAAAGATTCGGCGATTTTTATCCGCAGTGGTTCGGTGGGGGTAGCAATCGCGGTTTAATTCCCGTTCGCCGAACAGCACGCAACATTTGACTCGAAGGCCTGTTAATTGCTATGGCTGCAGTCTCGGATGCTTTAGATTCGGCGAATAAGAACAAATTTAAATGAACACACAAGTCCGCTCGAGCGCGCACTTGCGTAATTTTTCCATATCTCTCTCCCGCCCCGACTTTATGATTTCTCTTTTTATTTTTTGTGTTTGCTCCGTCGACGAGAATGGCGATGTTTGCGAAAGGTGGGCTGCGAAAAGAGCCCTGCTCAAATACACGCACGCCGTGTGCCTTTATATAAAATTTTTTCCACCTTGGCTTGAACAAAGAAACGGCGGCTGGTGAAACTTTCCTGGAAATTATGAGCGCCGGAATTTGTTTTATTGCCGACCTGCAGCTACACGCGAAACTCTCTCTTTCGCAGGCAACTTTTGTCCAAAGTAATTAGTTAGAAACGCTTCCCCCTAGTGAGTTTTAAGAAAGGGCTTAATTGTTTTCACAAATTAAAACATGACGTTCGTGCTTCATTGAAATATTTTTCGTTCATGATCATTATATTAGTGCAAAATAAAAAGAAATAAATAAAGAAAAGGTAATATATCTTAACATTAAGCCGATGTAGAGATTTCTTTACGCATTGGGCAGACGTAGAGAAACTAGTAATTTTATGGCGTGCGAGGCCAAGCTTGATGATTTTTTTCAATCAAACAACAATTAATCGTTGTCCTATACACTATTAAATTTTGCTAATAATTTATTTAATAAATCAATTAGCAAATTTTGATAAATAAATTTTAGCTCAGAATTTTTTGAATTTTTAAAATCTTTTTATGTCTATAATATTCTCATTCATTTTAAAATTTAGATTTTTACTCTTAAATTATGCAATTGAAGGTATTTTGAATTTATTTGCTAAATAATAAAATTGATTATCAAAACTTGCAAACAATAATTTAAGCTCATTAAATTATTTTTTTAAATATTTTTCAAGTAGTTTCATACATTGCCTTTTTGTATATGTTTATTTTATTTCATAGTTTTCCTTTTTCAATTTCCATCTCAATTTTTTTCAAATATATAATTTATTATTCAAATTATTGTTGATAAAAAACAAACAATATTCCTTTTTCGGTCCATGGAAAGTCTCAGCTCCGGAAACACCTCTGGCACATGTGCTCGCTCATTCTCTAATCTGGTCTTAAAGGCTGAATTTTTCCACATCGACTGGCGCCGTGTTTAATGCTAATTTGTACCACTGAGATAACAATGCTTTCTATCACGCCTCATTTATTATTCAGGGCTGCAACTCCGCAGCTTAAATTGTCCCCTTGCTCAGTTTGCTGCTTTTTTCTCCCACGTGTGTGTAATTTGCCGCATGCGATTGAAAGCAGCAAAGTGGTTAAATATTCATCCTAATTACGCCGAGCTGCATGAAAAATTAATTAGCGGAATAATTTGACGTCAAATATTAAACTTTTATCCAGATCTACACAAAAGTTGAAAATCCAAAACATGCCACCGTGCGTATTTTCTTATATTGAAATACCACACGTAATTTTCAAAAAAAGAACGTGATTTTTTTATTCAAAACTTTCAAAAGAGTTTTTATGAACACTGTATGGTCTAAAGCGAAACATCAGTAACATGAGGAGAGAGTTTCGCAAGTTATATTTTCAGCACAGGCTAATTATCGCTAATTATAGCTAATGTTTCGTTGGCTGCTAATTAATTGGCCTCTGCTTGCGTTGTGTGCAAACTGCTTGAATTAATCCGTTTGAGTAGCAGACAGACTCGGCAATAGCAATTATGAGACTTGCAATTAGTAACGTTGAAGCAGTTATTCTCAAAATAACATCCTCAGAATCTACAGATTTAAAGATATTTATATAAAAACAAAATTTATGATTTTCATGGAATTCCGGTTGATTCAATTATTGTTTTTATTGATAGCGGCTGATAATTTCTTCGAAAAATGATTATAGATAGTTTTTTTTTTAAATATCTTCTCTTAATTTTGGAATTTAATTTAAATCTTAATTACTTTTTCTTCAATTAAAAATCAAAATTTTGTGATAATAATGTGTTTTAATTAATTTTAATACCACCTGTTTCGCAGTTCAGGCAGTTTTGTATTTTTATTGAAATAACTACGAAAAAAGAGAATTTGAACATAGACTTATTGTATTTCAACAAAACCTGTAGCTTCAAATTTCGATTCTGCTGATTGGATTCGGGAGAAACACGATTGTCAATTACTTTCCAATGTGCCAAACCGAACAAAAGCGTCATGTTGACGTCGTGCGTGCGAAGCTTCGGCAGCGACAAGTAATTTGATTTTCCATTATTTGGAGAAGTTTTCTCTCTCTCAGCTGCCGTCGACCGAGGAGGCTGCTAATGACATCACTCGGACTGCATATTGCCCTTACATGCGCGCGTCTAACGTTCTTCGTGGGAGAGGCACAAAGTGAAATTCAATTACCTCGACTAGAGAGAGACCCCTAATGATAAATCTCCGCTCCGGCGCCTGGCCCGAGTCTTTCCAATTAGTTAAAAGTTGCAAAAAAAAGGATGTTGAATGTAACAGACAAAGTTTCTTGCAAGGGGTGCTTGTTTAATCCTATTATGTTTGTTGAAATCAAGACAAGTGGTCTTAAATTTCATGTTTACTCCAATTATTCACTACTCACCAAGAGAGAAAAATAAAAATAGAGTTTGGAAATGAGCGGAATTATATTTATGATTTTTTTGTATTCATCTAAAATTTAGTTCAACTATGTCAAAATTAATACAAAATAAATTGATATAAAATTAGGTTGATTCTAAAATGTAATTATGTTGATTTTAATATTTAAAAAAAATTAATTGGAATCAAAAATTAAAAAAATGAAAAAAACAAATATTTATGTTTTTTCTCCATCTCAACTTAGGCTATAGTAATTCTAATATAAATTTTTGGCAAAATAAGCAAAAATGTTGTTGTGTGTAACCTTTGCCATAATTTTAATGGTTGTAAAGATATGTATAAGCTAAAATGGAAGATCAAATGGCGCAAAGCTTAATAATTTTTTAACAATTAATAGTTTTCCGCAGCATTTCTTATTTTTTACATTGCTGTAGGTTGTAAGTAATTTTTTCCGTGCATCTACGTACTGTAAATATGTTTAAGCTTTATAGAATTTTAAAATGGTTTTCTTTAAAATTCATCAAATTTTTCCGAAAAAAAAATGCTATTAGCCGTAGGGTTAAAAAATTTCACCGTATTTGGTCTTGTCTTGGCTGTTTTTTTTTTCTACAATATTCGCCAATTTTTGGGGTCAAATTTATTCAATTTAAATTTGTATTTTTTATTTTTTAGTACAAATTGCATTTGAATTTAATAATGCTCATTTGATAATTTCAGACAGTGAAGAACAGGCAAAAAAATCTTACAAGTAATTAGAATGATTCTAATTTACAAACTACAATTTGCAACCAGATATTTTTTTTTAGATTCTGCAGAAAATGAGAAACCCCCACGAGTTTTTGTGACATTCGAGATTCCTAAAGCTGGGAAGGCTCAAATTTTCGCTCAATTTCGGGCATATTCTCAAATAACAACGTCACCGAAGAGAAATGCAAATAAAACGCACACGCGCGCGCTCACACTTCTCGTCGGCTCACATTTCCCGCGTTTTAAATAAAGGCGGAATTCTCTGAAAACACACAGTCATCATCTGGAGAGAAAGAGGGAAATTTCATGCAAATTGGCTCCTTGGCATATTCTTGCTCGCTCTGTGAAATGTCAATGATATTCAAATTAGAGGGGTACGTATTTCTGCTCTCTCTGTTATTTTGGTTCGCGGCTAAAAACGTAGATTGTTTCAACTCGATCGCGTGCGCTGGACTGGAAAAACTACATAAAAACCAGAAAGTAAACGTCGCCGCCACACTCCATAACTATAAAACTCGTAACTTTTGTTCACGGCCTTCAAATCAATGCACTAAAAATAAAAGCCTCTAACATAATAACTCGTCAAATTCCTCTAAAAATATATCCCTCTGCAGGTATGAGAATTTGCTTGGAATTCTGCTTCCAATTCACGATGAAAGAGAAAGGAATTTTAATAATTCATGTATGGGTTGGAATTCTGTATTGAGAGAGGACGTAAATTTCATTTAAAATTTAAACACAATTTACAATTTTAGACTTACTAAATTAAAGCATTTTGACTCAGATTTTTAAAGTTACATTCTTTTAATAGATTATCAATTTTTTTTATATTATCGACAAAATTGTAATAATTTTAACTTTACCACTTTTTCATTGTTTCGGTTTCGCTTTTAATGAGTAAATTATAAAGTAAAACGTGTGTAATATTTGAGGCAAATTAAACGCCCGAAATTAACCGGTAAAGTTGACTCTCGGTAAAACGAATTTCGATCAGTTCCAATTTAACCCGTTGAGCACACGCACGATGGTTGGATTAATTGCGAATTTCGCAGAATAATAATAAATTGATCGCGATTCATGTATCCAAGCGTGACCGAAACCACATTCATGTGACGTCAAAAGCCGTTTTAAATGTAGCAAAATAATCTCGCGTTATTATTCGAACAGAGTGTAGCACGGGATTATTTCGGAGCGCGTGAAACTTGGTTGACGTCAAATTGGGCCACGCTTCATTGATACTCAAGGGCACCTTTTGATCGTCGCGGTTAAAAAATATTCAATGATAATTTCATATCAGCAGCGAGGGAGACAATAATTATTCAAACAATATGCACTTGTTTGACTTATACTTTAGATAAAAAAAAAACATACACACTCAAATGCTGATAAAATTTCCAAAATAGAATAAATTCAATATTATTTTTTTCTAAATTGTTGCTACTAAAAATATTTAAATTTTTACAGATTTTTGTAAATTTCTGAAGAAAAAAATAAATTGGTACTTACAGTAGGTCTCGGACGTGAGTCTGTCGATGGTGTCCTGTTTTAGTTTGGAGTTTTTCTTGCCCATTTTCGGTCCTGTGTCCCCTCTGGTGTGTTTTGGGTTCTTCTGCTTCTTTACTTTCAGAACGCGAGCGAGCACTGAATGAAAAGCGGCCGGCTTTTGAAAGTTCTTTTGCTTCTTTTTAATAGGAGTGCGAATAAACAGCGAGCGACGAAACGAATCGACCGACTTGACGAGCACCACTGACTGCCGCTCGGTCTCACTCCATGGTCTGCACGTGTTGGCCTCGTCCGGGACACTGACACGCCTCGGCCGCCGCCCGCACGAAGGCAGCACCCGAAAGCAACACCTCGCCTGCGCCTTTCCATCTGGTTGCCTCCCGCACCGCACAATACTCACGCCAACTTTTCGGCACCAAAAAATGTATTATGCACTTGTAAAGTTGAAAAATTTTTATTTTTATTTTTGTTTATAAAACCGGTGATAATTTTCAGCAATACAAAAATTGATTAAACAAATTTATATAAAATGATAGAAAAAAAATAAATTTTAAAATATTGTAAATAAATATGTACATCTTATATGTTGATCTGAAGAATTAAGGTAATAGGATTAAAAATAAAAGTGCTGATAATTTTAGATATTCTTCCTAAAAGACAACCATGTCACTTAAAAATACCAATTTTGTTTAATTGTTATATTTGTGCATATTTTCCTGTTATTTAAACAATTGTATTTATTTTTGCGTTCTTTTGTAAAATATATTTTTTGAATTTTATAAAAAAAAAATTGGTTGAAATCAGTTGAAATAATATATTGTTTGAAAAAATATCAAAAGATTGGACCAACAACCACATAATTATTCCTGATTTGGAAAAAATTTTAAAGAGAATTTATAAAACTCAAATTGATTTCAATTGAATGAAGATATCGTTTGTGGCTGACAGAAGGAACAGCTTGGGGTCCCAAACAGGCGGGTATGCAGTTTTCGGGCTTTCCAATATTTCAAAGTGGCGCAGAATCGAGTACAGACCAAGTTTCGACTGCATTTTAGCAAAACGCATTCCTATTAAATAGAAAGAAATAAAATGTAACAATTTTAAAAATTATTAGATAATAATTTAAAAAAGTATATTTTTTTACCAATACACTGGCGCGGTCCTTCTCCAAACGGCATGTAGACAAAGTTGTTTTTCAGCAAATTCTCGTCCTCGTACCGGTCAGGGTAAAAGTCTCTCGGATTTTCAAAGTACTTGGGGTCGTTTTGCATAGCCCAAGTGGGAATCACCACCAAAGTACCCTTCTCCATCAAGGTCTTTGTGCCGGGAATGACATAGTTTTTTGTGCACACTCTGTTCATGATGGGCAGAGGAGGAAACATGCGAAGTGCCTCTGAAAAAAAAGAAAAATTTGAGCTTTTTTGACAAATATATTATCACAATTTGCGCTTAACTTTTATTATACCGATATTTAAAATAAATTAGTGCTTTAAATACCTTGAATAATCCAATCAAGATATGTCATTTCCTGCAGCGCTTGATAACTCAATTTTCCACCATGCCTGGACAAAACTTCTTCAATGTTATCCCGAGCTCTTTGCTGAACGTCTGGGTGCCGAGCCATTTCCATTATACCAAAGGTCAGCATCGAAGAGGACGTTTCGAAGCCAGCAATGAAGAAAACAACCGCTTGGGCCACAATGTCGTCGTCGGTCAGATCTGTCAAAATTTTTACATGCACTGTTCAAAAACCTCAATTTATTAGCTAAGCTTGTACTTTCAATGGAGCTTGGTTCATGCGTTTCCAACTCCTCCGTTTCGCCCTCTTCTACAGCAACTTTTCCGTGCTCCTTGAGCTGAATTAGAAGTTGCATGAAATCCTTCCGCGTGTTTCCACTCTTTTTCCTCTGGTCAATAATGTCTTTAACCAACTTGCGGAAGAATTGAGTCACTTCCATAGGGAAAAAGGTAAACCTAAAAAATTTTGTAACCTGTTTTGAGGGAAAAAAATTAATCTGTAATCAATAAGTAATAAAAAATTTATACTTTGGGCAGGAAGAAAATGCACGCATTTTTTAAGCCCTGAATCAAGTCGATATCAAAAATCTTCCTTCCCATGACTCTGAATTTATCCTCTGGATTTTTAATTGAGTCCACTGGCAGCCCAAAGGCACAAGAACCTATTATATCTGTTGTGTATCTTGCCAGTAAATCCTAGACGTAATAAATTTTTATATAGTACTTTATAATATAAATATTTTTACTTTAATATTAATATTCTCTCTCTGGTGGTCGCGCATATAATTTTCAAAGTTTTTGGCGCAAGTTTCAACGAGAGGGAATAATCCTTTTATCTTTCCAGAGGTGAAGGTCGGCGACAGTTTGCTTCTCATATCCTTCCACTTCTGGCCTTCCATGTTGAATAAATTTCTCGACTGCATTGGGTCAACTTCTTCATCAATCTTTAAAAATTAGTTTTAATAGATTTTATCTCTACAGTCAAATCTCATACCTCAAAACCATGATCGACAAAATGTGAGAAATCCTTAATCATGATACTTCTTACAAGCTCTGGATCCGTCACAATAAGTCCAGGGGAATTACTCTAGAATAATATAAAATGTAATATTAAAAAAAAAATTTTCTTTGGAAATTTTATTAATACCTGGAAGTATCCGACAAATTGATGATCACCCTTGTACTTGTCATACATGCGCCAGAAGAACTGTCCCATGTGCTCACGCAGGGTCAATACAGACCATATCGAGCCCAAGAAGGGCACAGGTGGGATGAACTCGATCTCCCTATCCTTCCAATAGTTGAAATTGCGAGTGGCCCAGTGGTAAATAAGAGCTACGAAGAGCACCGCAAGGGCAACCGTAAGCATAATCGGGTCCATGGTCCGGCTTCTTGATCTTCACGCACGAATGATCAAGAACAAGACTCTTGTTTTGTCAGACTGACCCCTTCATATACGGACCCCAGATAATAAAAAATAAAGCAATTAAAAAGAGATAAGATAGCTTCCTACTTTAAAACAAACTTGCTGTACCACACAACTGGAATGATGCTTTTATAATGCGCAGTTTGGGAGACCTTCTATAGTAATGCGCACAGCTGTGAAATGACCAGGCATATATTTTATCTTCAAAAACAACCTGAGGGGACTGCACAAGGTCGCCGAAGTAACGCCTATAATAATTTTAAGGAAGCAGGTGTTTTGAACTTGATTAAAAAAGTTGATTATGATTTGTTAAACAAAAGTAATTTTATTCTTACAGTGGAGGTAAGATTTTATTTACAACACAACAGTAATCCTTACATCAGTATGCAAATCATCAACTCTGCAGACATTTGTCCAATCTTGGATCTAAGTTTATAAATATTTGCAGCCGAGATGATGAATCTTAATCTTTTCTGTCATCTTTTAATAACAACCATCAATTGATCAAAAACAGATTTCTCTAAACGCGGAAACAATGATGAGGGGCAAAGAGTTGCAATGAAAACTTTACTCATAACTGTTCGTAAAAATAAGACATCAGTCTGTCAAGAGCCTTGGCACTTGAATTGCAAGAAAAAAATCAGTGGCTACTTAAAGTGAACGGGCGACCTGCGACTTCCTATTTACGTTGGCAGGCTCTTGACCATCATACACATTTGTATATTGTGAGGAAATGCATTTAACTTAAGCCGGCGGTTTTATTGGAAATTGTAAGAACAATACGACTAACTCAGACATGCTGCACCAACTCGGGGTCGTAGACCGAGTTGGGCATCAAGGACTGCTCTCCAGTGGGTGTTGGAGGGTTCGAGGGTGTGGGAGTCGAAGGGGTGGTTGGCTCACCAGGGAGTGGTTCCATTGTGCTCTCCTTTGAAGTTGAGGGGCTGCAGCTGATTGCCTGCTGCTGGTGCTGCTGCTCCATGGCCAGGGCCAAATCTTCCAGTCCAGCAGGCGCTTTCAAGTTTGCCAGTTCCTCCTTCAGTTGACGGTAGTGTCTCTGCAAAATTAAAAAAAAAATTTGTCTTTAGTTATGAAAAGAAAATATATTTTAATAAAAAATTAAAATTTAAAAAATAATATGAAGTGATAATTGTAATTGTTTTAAATTATATTTTTCCTACACACCTTGAGTGAAACGGAGTTGACCGAGATTGCTCTCCCTGTTCTCCTGTCACTGCTCTGACTGTCCAGTTCTTTGATCCATCCATCAATTTGTTGCTCGATTTCGTGACGTTTGAACCAGAAATGATTGTGAACCACCTATATTTTTTAATAAGCTTATTGAAATAATTATAATATTTTTTTTGTATTTACCTCTTTAAAGCAAGGACTTGGCTGTCTCAGTTGCTCCAACATGGCCCATCGGACCGTCGCTTGGTAGATGTTCGAGTTGTACTCTCGGGAGCTGTGGGTGCCTGAAGGTGTGCCTCTTGACCTTTCATACCCTGGCTCATTGAAGTAGGGTTCTGGTACAAGAATCAGTGACTGAATGGAGACTAGAACCTGTTAAATTCAAAGAGTTTTTAATTAAACGCTCTGCTGCAAAAGAACAGATTTTTTTACCTGAAGGAAGCTTGAAGTGTGGGCGTTCCATTTTTCCTCAGGTCTGCCATGCCAGGTGTTGAGCACACTGAGGCAGACCTTGCCGTCATTGTACAAGTTAGGGTTGAACCTCACAGTTTGGTGGCCTGTGGTTTGTAAGTTGATGAGCATTGGTGATGACGGGTAGTCTGGTGGAAAGAAAACGTCAAACTCGAAGCATCCATTGGCATAGGGCGTCTCGGCAGGGCCGGTGATCAGGACTTTCATAATGTCCATTCGGTCTGTGTCGCAACGGACAAAAACAGAGCTGCTGTAAGACAACGGTAGAGAGGTGGACAGCGTCACTGTTTCCTGGGCCAATCTTTTCACTCTTGACGGCAGAGATCTGTCTCCAGCAGCTCGCATGTTTGGCTCAAAGTGGTAAGCGACAACAAATCGGAAGCCGTTTGCTTCTTCATTTTCCGTAATCATCTCGAATGAGTCTAATTTTACGTATTAAAAGTTAAATTTGTTACAGTAATATAAAATGTATACTAACCAAATCTCAATCTTCTCATGATTTCCAGGTATTTTTCTTCCAAAGACACTTGGAGTGGTTTTTCCATGCTTCCAATGTCACTCTGGCTGCCACTTCCAAAATCATCTTCGATAACCAGCCTTTCAGTAGCAAGCTGGAAATAAATAAATTTATTAATTGCATGCTCTAAATTGTTTTTTTTTTTCAAATACCTGGACCAAATTGGCAGTTTCTTGAATGTCTGGAATCAACTGGGCAAGACCCTCCTCGTCTTGTTGGTCTGTTTCATCCTCCTGCTGTTTCAAGTTTGCAAAAGCATGCTTTCTAGTTTTGCTAGCCTTTTTGGGTTTCCTGTTGTACACAAAAAATAAAAATGAAAGTTTCGGAGGCATTTTAAATGTAAAGAACTTACACTCCTTTCAGTCTTGAGGCATAAGTGTCCACACAGGACTTCATTTTGGTCAAAAGGCACACTACTGAGAGATCTTCCATGCGACCGCTCGAGGTTGGAGAGGGTAGCAACAAGTTGGCCAGCTGAGGACTGAATGCCATTGCCCTCAGTAGCTGGAGTACAGCCGTGTACAGCGGAATGTGGCGCGCCATGTCCAATACTAAAGGGGGAAATTATTTTGTTAAATTTTGAGTAATATTTTCATATTTTGAACATTGATTTGACTACTTATAAAAATTTCACCAAATTTAATACATATTTTCTATAAAAAAAATGTAAGTTACCTGAATCATTTCTCAGGTAAGAAGAAACAGCCGGAAGCAGACAGGACTGGCTGAGCAGCATTGGAAAAGAGGCTGGCAAAGGTGATCTCTCCTTGCTCTCAGTTTCTCCCTCACTGCTGCTTTCATCTTCAGAGTAAAAGTGCGCCGGCACTGCACCAAGTGGGTTGATGAAACTCGCCAGCACTTGCAACAGGACAGTGACGTACTCCTCCTCTCCCTTCTGCCTCTGCAAGGCCTGTTCCACATTCCACGACTGTTGAGTGCTGCCTGTTCCAAACCCTGTTCCCTTGGCCCAGTACAGGTGACTCTTGTCATCAGGGGCCTTTTTTGATCTCCGATCGGCACCGTTGGAGGGCTTTGAGGACTCGGACTGGACGGGGCTTTTGGTGCCAGTGTGGTGTGTGAAGTGGGCCAGGCAGTTGAGCAGAAGATGAATGGCGCCATGTTCCAAAGTTGCTGCTCGCAGCAAAAGGCCGTCGTCGGAATTCAGAGGCGTCGAGTCGAACAATTCTCTCAGCACTTGGAAGGGTAGAGTTGGCAGGGAAGGCGCCACCGAAGAATTGAAAATTTCTCCTCCCTCACCGTCGTCAGAAACGCCTAATACCAGACGCAGCAGACACTGCGCCTTCTTCCTGTCTCTCAAGAGGACTTCTGCATAGCCAGGGAGGCGCAGGAAGAGTCCAAATGCAACTAGAGAATGGGGAGGCACTGAGGGTGTAACCAAAGGATGAACATTGCCAGTTTTTGGTGCAGATGTTGAAATGGGAAGAGGTTCCTCCAAATCCTGAGAAAATTCATTAAGCGAATATGACTAAAATTTAAATGAATTTATTTTGGCATGAAATGATCTTTAAATAAATAAATATTTATCCTCAACATACGTCTAAGAAGTCTTCGGAAACCTCAACCTTGACCCAATCAGCGTCTACTGGGTCTGGAGATGGATTTTTAGCAACTTCTGGAGGCTGAATTTTCAGCGCTTGTGGGTAAACCAAGGGCAGGTGTTTGGCCAAAAGCGCCAATCCTCCCATCTGGGCAAAAACTTGCAGAGGTGTAGAAATTGTTTGATATGGTGCTGCAAAGTCCATTTTCTCAGCATCTAGAAATGAAGAAAATCAATATGGAAAATTTAATGAATTATTGATAAAAAAAATAATGAAGCTTAAGAGCTTAGTCCCACCTGTATTTAGGTAATTCAAGGTCAAAGTCAAGCCAGGAGAGCTCAGTGAGTGGCCGCTCAATCTCAAGGCGGCCAGAAGGTTGGACATTGTCAGGTGGACGGGCAGGGTTTGGTTGGGCCACGCTCTGTGGTGCAAGCAGTAGCAATTGGCTGCCAGCATGGCCGAGCCTGCTAGAACGCTGGCCTGACTCGATGCAGCTGCTGAACTTGCATTTCTTGCATCCTTGGCCCTCTTGTCCTGGGCAGTGACGCCAGCAGCAACAGACATTTGGTCAGGGTAGCTCATGTTTGGGTCACAGTAGCTCACTTTCAAATCCTGGCTGGCCTCGGCTTTTGGGTCTGACGAAGGAACAACTGAAGCTGGAACTAAAATTTTTCATAAGTAAAGTGGATTTAGATTATAAATTAAAATTTACTTGTCATTAGTTTCAAGATGTCGGCACATGTTGACTGCGAGCGCAGCATCAGCAACTGATTTTGATGGCCGGTGCCATGACGAGGATGACGCGATGCTTGCCGGGTTGCATTCACCGGACATTGGTTCAAGGTGCAGTCTGCTTTGATGGAGACCAAGATTTTCTCGCTCTCCAGCAAGAGCTGCAGGATCAGTCTTCTGGTAAATCCAGACAGTCCATGCAAAAATTTGAGATCTGTAAATACATTGAATGATTATTTATTTTGATTTGTCACAAATTATGATAATTACTTTGACTAGAACTTTGCTGGCGTCGAATCACTTCGCAGAGAACTGAACAGAGCAGGTGTTGATTTTCTGGGTGGAATGTGGTGCACTGTGACAGGAACATGACAGTGGCAGACTGAACGTTGGCATGTGCTTCCCTAAATTGATAACATAATTATACAGGATAAAGTTTTGTTGAAAGGTAACATACGAGAGCTTGCTGCTCTCAGGTTGCCGTTCGTTGCACAGTTTCAAAAGCAGGGGAAGCCAAAATTCTGAGCCTTCGGGAGATCCGAGCCAGTCTCTAATTTTTCCTTCACAGCAGATGTCAGCGAAAAACTTAAGAACAACTGCAACTCCTTCAGTTGAAAGTACACCTGTACATACAAAAATAAATTTTGCGGAAATTAAAACATGGTTTTAAGTATGCATACCATGGCTGCAGAAGAGCTTTTGATTTTTTCTGGAAGCTTTTTCAGCCTGATTTCCGTGGCACCAGTCAAGGATGCATTTGGTCAAGAAGATGGGCAGCTTAGAGTTGAGGAATCTGTCTACAGCCATTGGAGACTGACAAGCCATGGCAATAGTCAGAAGCTGTCCTTCAGTCAAAATTGTGTCTCTTGTGACATTTCTTGATTCCAAAGACTCAATTCCAATCTTGGTGAGCAGATCAGAGAAAATCTGTGGGGAGATGTAGCAGAGCGAGCAGATAACACAGTCAACTGCTCTCTTTAAAGCCCCGCTCTCAGGTAGTTTGGCTGACCACTCGTACAAAATACTGCAAGCAATATTAATGATTACAAAAAACTTAATTGTTTTCTATTACAAACCTTGGTAATTCGCCTGTGATTAAAGCAGGAAGGTCATACGAAACTTCTTTTTCCTTGCTAGCCCATAAAATTGCAGCACTTGCATGAATGTAGACTCCCGATGGATAGCATTTATCACAGTTTTCACTCGAAGATTGCTATAATTTAAAAACTCTTGTCAGAACAAGTTTTTACTTTAATTTTCTATAAAACTGACTTTAATATTGCTCTCTGCTATGTCTTTCAGCCATGTTAGTAAGGCTGCTACTCTGAGGTGCGTGCTGCTATCCTGAGTGAGACACAAGTGAGCAAGCAACTCCACCACGGACTGGTGCGATGAGTCTCCTTCTGTCAAAAATCCTTAAAATCTTCAATGAGAACCAGAACCTAATGAAGTCGAAACTAGACCTACCTTGCATTTCACTTGCTCTTGTGTGATGGAGCAACAAATTGATTTCTTTTAAACCAAGTTCCGAATTGTGCAAGCCGAGGTAGAGTAGGACTCTTTCCAGACTAGGTGAAAGGGAGGCAGGAGGTGGCACAAACAGAAGTGCACAGCATGCATCCAGCAACTCCTCCTCACTTTCAGCAGCCGCAGCAACAACTTCTTTAAGCATCGGCGAGCTTGGTGGAGACATCACCATTGTGAAGTACAGCAAACGGAGCCAGCCGAAGCTAATTTAAGGAAATTTTAATTACAATTAATTTTTTTCTATATAATTTACCTAGTCTTTGTGAGTGTTTCCTCGTCCTTTTGGTCATTGTTGGTGGTCATCACATTTCCTTTGGTCACCGTGAAGTTGTCTCCAAATGAGGTCGAGCCCAACAGACGAATCTGAGAGAGGCCAATATTCGAAGAGTCTTTGGGCTTGTATAGACGGATAAGCACGGATCCGGCAACTTCAGGTACAGGGAGTCGCAGACTCACAAAGGTGAGGCAACTTGTGTTGATTGGCGAGCAGACTGGGAAGAAGGCCGAGCCCGGCTCTCTCGCTATCTCAATTGCAACGGCCGATGGGCAAGCTGTATAAATCAAGCGAATTAAATTAATATAAAATAAAAAAATCAATGAAGTTTACGCACTTGCTAAAGATGTGAGATGTGGCAGCATTTGAATTTCTTTTAGTAGCACTGAACAAGGCAGATTGATGGTAAGGTCAACCCAGTGCTCATCGGGGTAGAAGTGGTATGACCAGGCAGGTGTCCTAGCACGTCGATGTGGAGGTGACGCTTGGAGCAAACTGTCTGCTGGCTGAGTGGTCAAGTTGCTTGAGGAAATCACGCCCAGCGGAGCAAAGTTCAACATGCCATTGACAGATTCAAGCTGAGTGGCGCCTTTCTTGCTCGGTGCCACCGGAGTATTACGGTACAAGTGCTGCATGACCATCGAGACCAGGCTAGGTTGCGTGTTGATCACAGACGAGCAGCTACGTACAAGATTCTGGCACACAATTTTGATGCCACCCATCTTGATGAACAACCCAAGGCACTTTTCGACCGAGACAAGTTTGAGGATGAACCAGAGAAGAGCCTCCGAGAGTTGCAAAACAGCTCCACTGAAGGAGGACTTCATGTAGTTCAAAAGTGGTTTCATGATAAGCTCAGGTTTGGATGTGTTTTTTGCCAGGGTGATGAGCAGGTTGAGCACTGCGTCACCTGCTGATTCGCTACTGGCGTCATTGCCCATGTTGACCAAAGAGTCAGGCATGGTTAGCAAAGAGAGGTCTATGTTAGGAGCAAAAGCCAAGGCCATGGTGTTGATGTTGCAGTTGGCCAAAGCCGTCATCAGTCTCATGATGCTTGCTTCGTCCTCAAGAACTGGAAAAATGCACAAGAAATTTTTTAATTTCAATATTAAATTTTTAACTCACTTGAATCAATTTGGCTTGTTGCTTTGACGGGAGACTCGACTTTAGAGCTTTCCTTTTCCTCGTCAGATTTGCTGCTCAAGCCGTCTCTATTTGCACTGTCATGTTTGCAACCCTACAAGAATTTGTCATTAAATTTTTCTCAACGTACCATATATCATTATTACAGTGGTTGAAAGAATGAGTTTTGTTGTCAGGGTGAGTAAGTTGCACTCCAATGCATTTTTATTTGCCCTTTTATTAACTGGTGGCTCTGTTCCGAGCACTGAGGAAAACAAACTGCCGAAACACCTTGATGCGGAGTTTGCATTTGGAGAGTCATGAGAGGACTTGCGACACTCAACATTTTGCGTGTTTTGGAAAGTCCAGTAGACCAGTCTGCTGACAGATTCGCAGAGGTTCTTTAGCATAGCCAAGTTGACTGTTTCGTAGTTGAGTTTGAGAAGAAACTCGAGAAGGGTGCACTGAGCGTCAAGTGGTCCGTGCTTCAACTCAATGGCTCCGTGTGGAGACACAAGTTCCAAAAGGAGCTTCAGCATTTCCTCTTTCATTGTGGATGAGCTGGAGAAGTCCTCGATTTCAGACAAGGTCAGCAATCGCACCAAGAGCTGGTTCAGATTTTGACACACCATAGAGCCAGCCTGAAAAAGAAGCTTAGAATTTGGATCCGTTTTTATTTCTTAGTTCTTACATGGTCAACTGCTCCATCTCCCGAGAGGAATCTCCGCAGCATTCTGATGAAATTTGGGTCCTCAATAACATAGCTAACTTTCCAGTCATCAGTCTTTGGCTGATTTGAGGTAAGGGTAAGGCATTGGAAGGCCAAAGCCCAGGTACAAAGAGAAACATTTGGACTCCTATTAAAAAAAATCAAGATTGAAGTTTGAGGATAATTTGATTTCTGTTACCAAACAAGAGCAGACATCAGTCCGACAACAGCAGGACGGTTCAACTGGAGAATGGGAATGGCAGTTGAATCAAAAGTGGGACTCTGTTGCGCCAGCGTGTGCCACAACTGCAGAGTTTGTTCCAGACTTACAGACTGCGGCTGCAGGTAGGAATTTTATTTAAATGCTTTAATTTAATTTATTTTTGTATAAATAACTAACCTGAAGTTGAAGGTCACAGAATATTCTTTCAAAACAACTAGACATCATTGTTTCACTGTTGCTACTTCCACCGAGGCTTATGTTGTCTGGGCACATTGGCACTAGGGAATTGTCCCAACTGCCAGCAGTCTGTATGTGTTTTGTTTGTTGGAGAGACGACAAAATGCTTGCTGACAAATTGTGGGTGTTTTGTGTTGACAGCCTCCTCAGAATCACCTCTGAATTCCACTCAAAACCAAACTCCAGTCTGGCATCCATAGCAGTACTAATTCTTAACAAATAATTTCACTCCTTAAGGTTTAATTAATTTTTGTCCACTCACGTTGAAGACATGCTTGGTACCGTACGCTGAGTACTTCCTTTACGACTCAGCAAGTATTTGCCACGAATCCAAATATCCTCCAGAGTGTCATCTAGCTCACTATCCTCGGACTCCAGCAGAGATGGCATTTTCATGTTGTCGAGAGGTTTCGTTGGTTCCGCACTTGACCCAGTTACTACTAAAAAATTTAAATTTAAAACCTGTAATGTAAAACTTGATTATTGTCTCACCACTGTCATCTTGACTTTCTCCTTCCATTGTGGCCTCGCTCTGGGGGGCTTCGAGACTGTCATCACTCGGACTGGCATCTCTACTTTTCATCTCAAGACCAGAAGGTCTTGCTTCCAAGAGATCCTGAAGGAGGCACGAAATGGCGTGAGACACCCAAGGTCCTCCCCAGAGAGACCGAGAGCCACCTTCACACTTCACAGCCAATTGAACAAATTGCAGGAGTTCGTCATCGGTCATAAGCATGTTCAGGGTGATTGAGGGTCGAGCACAACTTATTATGCCAGAGAGGACCTATTCAATTTCAATTTTAATTAAGAGTTAAATTTTTATAAGGTTTAGATACCTTGCAGGCCAGGAGGAAGAGGTCAGAATTGCAAGTGAAGTCCATGTTTAAAATCAAGGACACCAGTCCTCGAGCGACCGGGAGGCTGAGCGCTTGAGGCAAAAGGCCAATGTAAGGATAAGACTCTGTTGGATCTTCGGAAATTCTTGAGCATCCTGCTCCTCCCAAACTGCTGCCAGCCTCTGAAGAGCCCCGTTCCATCCTCCAAGCTTGGGACATTTCCCTCCATCGCTGCTGCCAAAATTTGTTAATATACCAATATTAATGAGCAGAAAATGATTTACTTTCAAAGTGTGTTGTTGGACAGTCTTTTTCAAAAATTGCTCCTGCGCTTTGAGAGCAGCTTCCAATTTGCTAGACAATGTAGCCGCTTGCGTCGAAAGTGCCGAGAGAGCTTGAGTGGACGACTGGTACGCTTTCTTAGCAGCTTCAAGTTCTTTTAACTGCTGCGAGTGGTGCATGAGGCGTTTCTGAAGTTTCCTACTGTAGCATCTGCTGGACGAAGATTTGTTCCAGCTGGCCAGGTGTTTCTGCATGGCTTCGTAGCCTTGAATGAAAGTCCAGCGGTTGCTGCCACCAGGATTGGCTCCAGCACTGCTTGCACCTGACAAAGAAAAGCATTTTGCATAACTATCTCAGATTTACTGCATTGAAATAGAAGTACCTTGATCTGATTTGTCCTCGGGAAGACAGACGTCTAAACAGGAAGATAAATAAAGCAGAAGCCATCCAATGAGTGACAAATCCAGTTGCGCTTTTTTGTATCCTTTAGCTTCGTGAATGGGTTTCAAAAGTTTTCCCAGAGCTAGCAAAACACTTTCCAAAACACTACTCTTTGGTGAGCTGAGGAGGGACTTTCTTCCCAAATAAGTGAGCAGCATGAATACCCTGTTAGTAAATAAATGAATGATAAATTTAAAAAAAAAGATAATAGGTTAATTTTAACATTACCTGTCCAATGGAAAAATTGAAGCAAGGGGCCCTGATCCGAAAAGCTGAACAAGGCTGTCAGCCAAAAAATCTCCCCACCATGGCTGCAGGCCGCATCCCCTGACAAGAAGGGAGCATGCCGCAAGTTGGGTGTGTGACTCTGTTCCCACACAGAGAGGTTGAAACAGGTCTAAACACGACTTTTGGTTCAGTTGGAGGGCAAGACCCTGGAAAAAAAAGAAAAAATCAATTTCGGGAATTTGAATTTAAGAAGAATAATTTACCCTATTTGATCCTGACTCATGGGCGATTCCTAACAAAGTGTCTAAAAGGCAGTCTGACATGATTCTTAACTTGTCAGTGCAGGCCTCACTAAGAACCTGCTGCGCTTTGCTGTCCAAATAGCGGGGCTCCATGGAGGCAGCTGATCTCAGTCTGCTGAGGACGTGCCTCACAATACTCAGTTGTCTTTGAAAAGCAATACATTCCTAAAGAGAATAAAAAAGTTATGATTTGTTCGAGATTGAAACAATTTAAATTTTTCAACTGAAGTATGTAATGATTTAAAAATTGATACTTATTTTAAATAATAAGTATTAACTTTTAATTAGATGATGATTACCTGATAAGCGTTGATGATCTTTTGTTCGTCAAGGTGCTCCATCGAGTTAGCAACCGTTGGTCTCAAGAAGTTGTAAAGGTGAGAAATGCTAGACTGTTCTACCTGCAAGTAGGGTGCCAGGAGTCCTTTCAATTTGGCCGAAGCCAAACTGTGTCGGCACTGCGCGTCTTCAATAAGCGCTTGCAAAATCGCTTGGTAGTGCTTGTGCAGCTGGTCATCATTCTTGACACTTTCATCACAGTTCTCAAGAGGAACTAACACCATGTGTCCATAAAATTGACCTACGGGAATTCTGCAGCGGGCAGTGCTCATTCCATACCTCCCGATTGTGGTCACCTTCAGGTAGCGGCACAGGGGCTGCGGCTGCAAATCACTCAGGGTGAGAGATTTGGTGCCGATGTCGGAGGCCACCACTAAACGCTGACCATCAGTCTCCTCAGCACTGACCCAGTAGTCAATGGACAGAGACACCAGGTCAGGACACGCAGGGATGAAGAGATCGGTCAGGGCAACTGTGGCGCCAAAGTCGAGCACCACAAAGCGTCTGGCGCCCGAGTGCATCCGCTCAATGACCAGTGTTTGCTGTGTGGGTGGTGACAGCAACTGCTGCCATGGGAGCATGGCCAGATTTCCAATCGAGTTTTCTTCGTCCGACTGGTGCATATCCGAGAAGGAAAAGCCTTCAGATTCCCACACACTGTTCATGTACATGCCGTCTGAAGAGGGAAGCGCTTCCAATTTGGTGCCGTCGCTTGCAGCATGGCAAGTGAAGTGCAAAGGTTGAGTTTCAAGGAGGCCGCGCATTTGATTCTCGGATATCATACTTGCTCCTATGTTGGTACCAGTGAACATATTTTTCAGCTCAGAAAAGCCATTGCTTGGTGCTGAAAATTATAAATTGTTCATAATAAGGCAACAATATATAAAATAAAGTCCGTTATACAGGACTGGAAAAGTTTAAAGTTATAAAATAACAATTTAACAAAATATGATAGTGACAATTTCAAAAGTGCCTCTGACACAAACAAAAATTAATTTCTACTCACCCATATTCTGATAGGTGTTCATGCTAGCCTCTCCAGAAACAATTGTGGCATAAGACAAGGGGATAGATGAAGATTTGCACTGCTGTAGTGGAAGTTCAGCGTCGAAAATCTGAGGTTCCAGAGGCAATCCATAAAGACCGAACCTTGTTCTGAGCAACATGTGTTCTGGGCTGCTCCTTGAACTAAGCTCCGTTGCAACTTGCTGCAGAAGGGTCATGCACTTTTGACCAGTGGTGGTTGGGTTTAGCAGCGCCTTGCGACTGAGCATCATGAAAAACCAGTGCAGTGCACCGGACGACTGAGCTCTTGGAACCATAGGCAGTGCATTCAGCAAAGCATTCAGAAGGGTGTTGTCAAAGGTGGGAGATGGAGAGTCCATTGCATTTTTCAAACCCCTATAAATAAGAGATTGAGTACTATACCTTAACATGCCACTCAAATGTTCTTACTCGCTGCAAATTACGCAGAGTTTTGCAAATTTGTGGGCCAGACTTCTATTTGAAAGTAAGAGACAGTTGAGGACAAGAGATTCCATGTTTTTCTCAATAAGCTGGACCAACTCCACCTGACTGGCTTGGTGATCAATTTGTGGGCCTCTGTATCGTGCTAGTTTCACTGAGCAAATCCAGATTAGAATGTCTAGGGCTATGCTTTGTGTCATGGAGTTGTTCTCCGGCCCTTGCAGGCAGGCAGCTCCAATCAGCCTTTCGATGAAAGATAAAGACTCGACCATTCCCTTTCTTTGGGACCTATTAAATTAGAATTAGCATTAAGATATTCACATGTTTTTAAACCTTACCTCTCATTTGGAATTGATGTTCTGCAGGATCTTCTAATCGTAATTGAAATTTCATGCAAGTAATCACAACCCTTCATTTCCTTTTTGCTCTGAGAGCTGCTACTTGGTCTTGGTGGTGCTTGTGTGTAGCTGAGGTCAATCTTTTGGTCTGCATTTAGTAGTTGCTCCTTGATTCCCTTCAGTTCCGTCCGGCCCCTCTTCAGCGCGGCTCTGTCATCCTTTTTTGAACTCTGTTAAGTACAAATAAGTCCAAGATGTAGTAACTTTATTAAACATACCATTGATTTATCACTAGGTGCAAATATGGCTTTGATATGAATGAGTAAGGTACGACTGCGGGTGACGAGCAGTGCAGGACTTGTGAGCGTCACAATGCCGCTTAATCCACTCAAGTCCAGGGAGGACATCATATTAACAGGACCACACAAAACTTCCGTGTTGTGCTCACTTGAGTACTCCTCACTTGTGACAGGATTGCCTATTATAAAAACCAATATTGATGAATGAAATATTAAATAAACACAAACTTGACATACCAGAAAATTTAAAATTGATTCCATCATCGACAGCTCGACTACCGGGTTTATCTTTCTTGCCGATTCCCGAAGAGTTAAGTTTGAGGAGAGTGACTTGGATTTCAGTAGCCATTGAAGGCAGAGAGTGGAGGGAGAATTTAACATCTACGTGGCCTACGCAACAACTCCGAGGCAAGGTGAGCTCAAAAACATGCTCATCCCATGTTGAGCTGCAAGTTCAAAAAAGTTATTTTAATACTTTTGCTCAAGATACATAAAATAAAAACATTGACTGGATAAATAAATTTACTTTTCATGCTGAAGTCTCCAGGTCCTAGTATGGTGCAGTTCTTCGCCCCCCTGCTGTAGGTGTTGTGGGTGGCGTCTCTGCTTCTGCGCCTGCATCATTTCACTCCAGCAGGCTGGTGCATTTGCAGTAAAACAAGGAGTCAAGTTGACGCACTTTGTCAGCTGCTGCATTGTTCGCAGACTACTCAGGGTGGTGGGCTGATATGCTAGAAGATCCACTGCAGAGGAGGTCCCAGGCATTGCAGAGTCCACGGCGTCTACTTTTGAAGAATTCAGGTACAGGATTTGGTCAGACTCTTCTTCGATAGGCTAAAATTTGAATCGATATTAAATCCATGGTGTCTGAATCAGGGCCGAAATGGCACTGAAAATTTTACTGGGCGATTTCAAAATAGGCAGCCCACGCAAACAAATAATTGAACTGTTGGTAGCATATTTTGCTCTATTTTTAGGTCAATTTTAATTCTTACGAGTGTGGAAGAAATAGTTATCAATTGAATACATTATGCAAAATAATTTTATGTCTCAAAAACCCAAACCCAAATTTAGATCCCAACACCATGACAAATTGCAAAATGTTTAGAAAAAAAATATTTATATGTAAATTTACCTCTGCTCCAGGCACAGCCAAAGTGAAGAAGTGCAACTTTCCAGCGTCCGAGCACAAACACAATTGCTCCAGGCCTGGAATAAAAAAGTTATAAATAAACTTCAATCACTTAAAAAAAATTCGTAGTTCTTACTATTGCAGTAGGTGGCAGAGACGAATTTTGCGTTCATCTGAGATGGTTTTGCTGTGGCAACCGTGCTTAGAGAGGCAATGTCCAACACTCGAACAGCGCCGTCTCTGCACACGATGGCTGCCAGACCTTGCGGTTCTTTGCTTTTGAGATCACCGTCCCCTTCTTTCTCACTACATGGGAGCAGCAAAGTTTGCATAGAACTTGATGACAAAAACCTCCAAAGCAGAGGCTGCTCGACCACTACTCTGTCTGTTCCGTCAAGGGCATACAGAAGAACGGCGCCAAAGGGCTGCTGCTCAACAGCGGTGTCAGGTTGTTCCTGAGCTTTGGGCATCTCTTCCAACTTCTTCACATCCTTTCCGAGTAGAATTTCTCCAAAGTGGTTGCTCTTGTCGTCAGATTCAAAGTCGATGTGTTTGTATGCAATGGTCTGACTGGTGTCAAAGACAATTGACCCTCCCTTACCCACAATGGCAGCCCATGTGTTCTTGTCTGCCTCTCCACCCAACATAGAGTGAATCGAGTTCTGAATTGAATTGATAAGCTGACACTCTTCGACGCCTTGATAGTCTGCCGAGGCCACAGCCTCCTTGGCCTGGGGCACTCCCAAGGTCACCAGGAGGTGGTTTCCGTCACGGGTTGGCTGGACACTGGTCACCACCATGCTTTTTCGCACCTTTTCTGGTAGTTCGATGCACTGGAGCAGAACAGGCTCTAAAGTTTCGTCAGGTATGTCCATTGGGCGTTGGATGCTAGGCAGACAATTGTCGGAAACAAACTTGACTGCTGAGGTGTTCGGCGGAGGGTGCAGTTCTACTGGGTCTTCAATGCTGTCCGCATCAGCACTGCTGTCTTCAATAACAGGCACACCAAAGTTTTCATACAAAATGTGATTTAGGAAGGTTGAGTCGGTGTACAAATCCTGTCGACTGCTTTTGTTCTTTTTAGCGTCCTTGTTGTTTTTGTTGTTGTCCGACTGCTTCTGTTCTGAGTAGTGCAGGTCGTAAACTAACAGATATGCGCAAGCATCTTCCTTGCCTTCTTCTTCAAAACTGGACGCCTGGTTTGCGTAATTCATTGCTTGCACCATAGAGGATGAGGTCCCCTCACCATGATGCATGAGAGCGCCAACCACAAGGCATGAACTCGATTTGCTCAGTTTTTCCCTTTCTAGAGCGGCTATGCAAAGAGCAGTTACTTCTGCCTCAATGGAAGTAGCTGAAATAATAAAAAATTAATTAATTTCTAAAAATTATATTTAAAAGTAAATCAACCCACCTTCACTGCTAACTATGTTTTCTTGATCACAGAGTTCACTTTTCTCAGTCCATGCCTCTTTCAATTTAGGAGTTGATGTTGCCAATTTGTATCTCACTGCTTCCTGAATCACTTCGTGCTTTGCATTCACACTAAAGCTAGCTTCCTCCTATAACCAAAAAAATAAAATATTAATGAAATTCAACAACCCCTATGGACAGTTCAAACCTTGAGCTTTCGGGCTACATTCCAAATTGTGATCTGTCCCTGCTTGGAGCTAGTAGCGATCAAGTCCCTGGCTGAAGATGGACCAACATGCTCAACCGGCAAAGAGGCTGAACTGGATGAGACTTTCACTGCTGGCTGCGTGGCATATGAAATTGAAAGAGGAACGTTCTGTGTGGGCTCTCCTTTGACAAAAGGACACGAAGGCGAGTGCCTCTCGTGCTCAGACCAAGGTTCGTCCGTCGGCTCCCAACAAACCAGACACACATTGCAAGTGAAACACAATGCACGGTCATCACCCATCTTGTTTGGTTGGTGGTAAAACCCTGCCTGGGCCATTTGTTCTGGCAATGCCCATCTGAAAAGATTTTCAGTTAATATAACTAATTGTTAATTTTGTTTAAAACTTACTTGTAATTCATGTGAGGCCATTTGGAGAAAGTGGCCCTGCGAGCAGCTTCGCTGAACATGAGCGCTCGGTAGGGCGTCGAAGAACCCTCACTCGTGCCCAGCAACGAGAAGGCCTCCTGGTGCGCCAGGGTGCTCAGTCTTTCACAAAGGGCAGAGGCCACCGTCATGGCAGGCACTTGCCGACCCTGCCGTTTCAATTCCTGAGCGAGACCAGAACAGACTAGCCACAGAGACCCGGCAGGCATTTCCAGACTGATGAATCTCCACTGGAAATTTTTTACATAAGCATTTTTTTCCAGATCCACAAATTTTTTTTTACTTTTGCCGCCTTGCTGCTGGGGAGCTGCTGGTTTTGTGACTGGTGGAACTGCGACGAGAGTTGTTGGGTGACTTCGTGGATGAACTGATCTGCCCCAGGCAGCTCAGACATTTGTGTCAGGGCCTTGTGAAGAATGAGGGCCTGAAATATAATTAATGTTACCAAATGCGAGTAAAACCAAGGAACAACATATTTGTAAAAAAGTTAATTTTTTTACAGATAAAAACAAGGAAAACATCTAGAACAAAGTTTTTTTGCAACAATTTTTTATTTTTATTAAAAAACTTCCTCCTTTGCCTTAAAAGCTTTAGGATTTTCTACATACATATTGTGATTTCATTTACTAATTATCAATTTATTTACAGGTAAATACGGGTAAATAATTAAGAAAGCAAACCTCAGATAGTGGTAGCTCCACTCGAACTTTTTGTTGCGTTTGGATGACAGGTGGCTGCAGAATACTGTCCAGCAGCAGAACACCACTATAATCACTGCGGAGGCCGACATTGCAGCCATCGGTGAGCAGCAGCTTGTCGTGCCCTGAGAGATACGCGCCCTGAAGACAACTCGTAGACGAACCTGCAATTTGATATTTTTGTTGTCACTTTTGCTCGGGTTTCAGAGGCACGCCCCTTTTGCAGAAAAAACTTTGATTTTCGAGGCCAAGGACCGTTCGAAAAATTATCAAAAATTAGCACAAGGTCAATTGTGACAATCCGAATTTGAATCCGATCCAGGTCGGCAAATCGAGCATTGAATAAAATTGTGCAAAGGGGTTGACGGCCTTTGGGTGTCAAAACGTGTGCGCCTCACCCGTGTAGCAACTGCGGTGCAGGATGGCCCCTGTGTTGACGTCGATGACGAAAACCTCGTGCGAGTTGGACACCAGAAGGATGACGTTAAGGTTGGGGTGGTAAATAATGGCCTTGGGGTCGGTGTGCACGTTGAGACAGCCGTCTTCGCACATCGACCACTGTTCTTCATCAGCCATTTTGCACCGAGAATATTTTCCAATTAGTCACGTGACCTATGCCAAGGAAACCGATCCGGGCTGATATTTTGCCATCGCGGTGCCGCCCGCAGGCTCAAACTTTCCAGGGACACTTCCCGGACACGTCGGCCTCCACCTGACCGCAGGTTAACTTTGATTAAAGGTGAGAACGCCTGAAATTGAACGAGAAACTGTCAGCTTAAGTGATCTCCGGTTGTTTTTATTTTCACAATACTAGTTCCTTCGGCTCTCGCCCGCATGCTAGCGCTGCGTTGCCAAAACTTTTTCAATGAGAGCGCGGGAAATGGGCGTGCATATGTTGGTAACACCGATGTAATGCGCACTAATGCACATTTAGTGGCTCTTTGAAATCGAAAAGTTATTTTAATTAATCATACAAGTATATCAGATGGGTTAAAGTTATAGATAAATTTACAATCAGCTTGGTATTGGTATTCCTGCTGGAATAAGTAATAGAAGTAGCAGATTAAATGGGATGAACATAGCGGAACGATTAGATAGATTCATTAAAATTTTTTATAAACGTAATTATTAGTCTTTGAAGTATTGTACGATTCAATGTTCAATTTCATTTCAAAATTATTTTTAGGTGTAATATTTGATATTAATTATTATTTATTTATATTTTTTTACGTTCTTACAGCTAGCGCAAAATTTTATGTCTGATTCCTATTTCTTTTAATTTAATTTTTTTTAATAATGCATAAAAAAAGAAATAGAAAAAAAGCATAATTCAATAAGTGCACGGCAATTTTTTTTATATAAGAGTCCAATTTTTAATTTTTGTCTTCTTTCAAAATATAGAGTGGGTCAGGAGTGGGTGATTCCATTATTTTACTGTCAACTATCATCTAGTTTGCTACAGCTAGTGGATTTTTATTACTAGACTTTGGGAAATGTAGTTAAAATGATTTGCAGTGGATGATTTTTACGGATTTTTAGAGAAAAATTCATTAAATTTACATGCACATTCATAAACGCAGCATATATAGCTATTTAGCGCATAACTGGTGTTCATTAATAATTTTTTTTAAAGCAGAAGCACAAAATATTATTAAAGAAGAGATTACTATGATTGTAAGTAAGATTAACAACATAATACTTAAACCATTCATCGATAATTATACAGGAGGTGTATTGTATAGCAAAGCATCAAAAAATTTTAAGAGTGCTATGTGATCAAATTTTCGATAATTTTTTAACTGTGAATCACATTTTTTATGTAAAAGTGGGCTGAAAGGTAAAATCGGGTGAATAGAAAAAATTAAATATTATTTATAAATATAAAAAGATACGCACCGCAACGGGTTGCTGTTGTTATTATTTTTTGCTGCGGCAATTCCAAAATAATTTGATTGTTGATTCCTGCTTAATAATTATTATTATTTTTTTTTAATATCATGCAGTATGACTCCTCAGTCCTCTCCCTCTTCTGCCTCGTCTCTCTGCAGTCTGCAACTCTGCATGCTAAAATCCAAATCCGCCAAAATCTTCAGAAATCTTCATTTATCTGCAAGTTCCCGATCATTTCATTCCCGTTTCAAGCAGCGCCGCGAGTGGTAACACCAACAAGTCGCAACAACTTACAGTAGCAGAACAGCACACAACCACTGTGAGCACAACAGACAAAAAAAAAATAAAAATATAGTGATACATAATGAAATTTTGTTATGTGACCTTGACGATTCTCGACGACTCTCGACCATCATAGAGCAGACCTGTACAGAGCAGACCATCCACCATCCCGTCTCCCGTCAGAGACAGATAGAGAGTCGAGAGGGAAGAGGAAAGAGATGAGTCATTAAAAGCTTGTCTGCGCTGCAGCAACAAAAGTAACACAATAATATCCCGTTGATGTGTCCCGCCTTCATTTGTGTGTTTTAACAGAAATTCAACAGAAAATTCTGGAAAATTCTTCTTGAAGACGTTCGAAATGGGCATACTACTTTCCACTCTTTCAAGGCAAGAATCTAAAGAATTTTTCATTTTAGTTGTATTTTTTTTTACATAATTTTCACAATTATCAAAACGCATTCGGAGAAAAAAAAATTTGCATACATATTAAATATGATAAGCTTGGTTATGCGACATTTTGCTGCCATTTATGATTTTTTTCGTTTTTATTTTTAATAATCCTCTTCATACATCTCACACTTCATCTCATATTTTGTTAGTATTAATATTTTTTCACCTCTGCCTTCAATTATTGCAATGTATTGTATATAGCATTATAATTTTTTTTAAATCATCTTCAACAGCGATTATATGAATTTTAATTATATTATGTACATTTAAATTTATATATTACAATTAAAAATATTCCAAATCTTATGGTCAGGAGAATTCACTCTAGCCCAAAAATTAATATTACGCATGAACAATTAACTTGTGTACTGGTTTTGTAATTTGAATAATTAATGGTATGCCTAAAATTTATGCAAAATTAATTTTAAGACTTTTCCTCCAGGGTCTTAGGGTACTGGTTCCCAGTGCCCCCGGCGGAGGTTGTTGATGATGTGGAGTTTGAGGACACATCACTTCTACAGGTTGCCAGAGCTAAGAGATCAAAGGTTCAAAATCTTCGCCCTTTGCAGGAATTGGTGTTTGAGAAAATTGTGAAAACCTTTGTCAACAGTGGTGTGCTTTTGCCATTTCAAGACCTGCGTAAGAACTTTTGAAATTTGATTTTTAATTTAACGCAAAAACCATTTGAGCTATAAACTGTATTATATTTTTCAGCTCTGTCTTTAAGATTGGAAATCCTTGATCGAATGAAGGCTGAGGGCATCAGCAGGCGGAAGCAGATCATCACGCCTTTAGTTAAGGACACGATCTTCGAAATGGTGCACAGCTTGTTGGATGATTCAATCAAAACATTTGACTTTGCCCTGTTTTCTACATATGACGAGCCTGACAAGAAGCGTGACCTTCAAGTGTGGCAGCTTCTTGTTGAAAAATGTCCAAACTTGGAGAAAATTGTAGACTCTCGAAATTTTCCAGCCAAAACTCAATATGGCAACGATCCTCAGCGCAGATCTGTGAAGAAGGGTGAGAACAAATTCCAGCTTCAAGACGTGCTGCCCTTCCTGCTGCAATTGCCCAAACTCCAGCACATTCTCCTTGGGCCGTACGCCTGTAAAGAAGTTGACATGGCACAGATTTCCCTGTATTTCCCAAACTTGATCTCCATTTTCATCACTTTCAACGAGATTGTCTCTCAATACTTGCTTGATGAACTGTTGGCCCTACAGAAGCTGGAAGTTGTCAAAGTGAACTGGAAATTCCACAGAGATGATTTGAGCGAGGCAAGTTGATATATTTTATGATTAACCTTGTTTTGTTGAACCTGTCGAACTAAATATTATTATGTTTAATTTTCTTTTAGGAGGAACAACGAAATGAGATGGACAAGTTTTTTCTCTTCCGAACGGAGTGCCTCATGAGATTCCTCCACCTTCGGCACAGCACCTTATATGTTGATGGTTATCCCTCAGCATACGTTGATTACAATAGCTACCCTTACAAAGATCTACGGATGACTTTGTCATTAGAGCGCTTAGAGATCCGAACAAAATTTGACTTCAGTATCACTCCGTTTGTCACACACCTGAGACTTTCTGGAGACAGCACACCTGTGCCGCCACCAGCTTCCTTTGCTTTATTGACCAACCTGCGAGTTCTGAGTATACATGGAGCCAGTGGAAGCCTGATTGCCCAAATTCTAACCTTCTGTGGCAAGCAGTTGGAAGAACTTGAATTAATGGATGATCAATGGGATGAGGACGATGTTGCTGTTGACGACGTTCTGGACATCTGCGACACTCTTCTGTCTTGCCCTAACCTGACCAACTTTTCTTTTATGTCTCAAAGGAGAGATGATCATAAGCAATTCAACACACAAATGAATGCCAGTCACATCCAGAAAATGCAAAAGTTCTGTTTGGATGATATCAGGCTCAGCCATGACTACGCTTCAAAGCTGATGGCCTTAGTTTTGACTGCACCAAACCTGGAGTACCTAAGAGTAGCGCCAAGCTTCAGTTTGACACCTGAGGAGTGTGAGCACTTGCATCAGCCCTTGATCGATGGGGATATTCTGCAACAGCTCAAGACTTTCAAGTTTGGTTCCCACCTTGAACAACCTGCCGAATTGCTCGAATTTATCATGCTGCTTCCAGTTCATTCTCCTCAACTTGAGAAATTGAAGTGCTTTGGAGATCTTCCTATGCTTCTGTTGTTCCGGGAGCAGATCCTGAAATCTCGACTGCAAAGAGCTTTCGACAAATGTGGTGATTTTCGTTTTCCGAGTGCCGGGTCATGCTTTGGAGATAATTGATTTGATTGCCTTGTTCAGAGGACACAAAGAATTAAATTGCCTGATGTTATGTTTGATGCATGTATTTGTTTGTTGATAAAAAGTTGACTGCTTCATGTGCTAATGGGAGAATTTTCTAAAACTATGATCACCAGATTTCATATTTTGGTTTCACCCTAAATGTTAATCTTGAAATTAGTCAAATTAGTAGCTTTGCAGCAATTATTGTTCATTATTATTTTTGCATTTTATAATTATTTAAGCCATTCCTTCACACCTGTATTAACTCAAAAGTATTTTCTAATAATTTGAAATTTTTCTTGTATAGCCTTATGCTGGAATAATATAATATGCTGTAATGTCGTGAACAAGAATAATAAATATTTATTCTTCACAGTTGTTTAATCTGCCTCCTGATACGAGTAACAAATGAAAATGCATTTTTATATTTAAAAAAAAGTTGTAATAGAGGCAATCTGTATTTTAAAAAAAATACAGCTGGTTACTTTTTTCTTTTTATTTGCAGCATCACAACACAAATGACAAAACACACAACTTGCTTGCAAAATGATGACAAATGGTTTTCTTTAAAAAAAAAATCAGTTTTATTGTTTTTTTTCTTTCTAAATTATATTATGTAAATGCTGAAAAATGCAAGGTAGTTTCAATTTGCTGCATTGCCGATTGCCGGCTGGTGATAAAATTTAAAGTTCTAAAATTTGCGATTATAATTCAGTCAGCATGAATATAATATAATTATTTCCTCTTTGTCCTATGTGTATTAAATATAATTTTTGTAAAATAAGTAAATCTTTCCAGACCGTTCCACCCAACCCAGATGCTGCCGCTAATAAAGTAAATAAATTAGTATAGCTACCACAGCCCATAATCAATGCGTTTCATAATCGCGCCCTTTTTTATTGCGAGGAGGAAAAATGAGGCGATAGGGGGCGTCGTGGTGATTTGTTTACAATGTTGGTTCACTTATGTGACAAGAAGCACGAAGACAACCACGAAGATGTGATTTGATGAATTCAGTGACTTTTGCAAAATCAGTTGGTGTTTATTCGGAAAAGCATCTCAAATTCTTATTCCGATGCGGCGATCATCATCGTCGACTCCCGCCTCTAATTTATCATCGGTCCAGCGGCAGCAAGTAAGAAAAATAAGCTAAGATTATGTGATAAATTTTTAGAAACCGATTTCTCTCCGCTGCGCTCAAATTTTCAGTTAAAATGAAGAACACTTCTTTGATCAAAAGTTTAGCAAAATCTTAAACCTTTTGCGCTGCGCCTTGCCTTTTTTATGTACCAGAATTCATAATTTGTTTCCCTCTCAAAAGTCAAGTTTGTTCTTCAGTAAAAATTTTAATAAACAGCAATTTGGACTTCAAACAACACAATAAAAAAATAATCATATTTGTAAAAGATTGTTAAAAAGTATGGAAAATTTTGTAAATTTCCTTCCTATTTTCAGATCTTGCCCATTATATAGATTGGCCTGTAACTTTCTCATTCCTTTTCGATGAGTCGCGTTGAAACCTGCAGAAAAGCGGAAGAAAAAGCTGATGACTGATGACAAATGTTGATCCATTATCTCGAAAATGATGCGCATCTCTGACGCAATTGGCTCAACTCTTTTAACATTCAGGTATATGTACGATGAAGCTCAAAATTGAAAATTGAAAATCGTTTTCATCCTCCTGGCGCAAATCGCACTGACACACTCATCGATTTTTTGTTTGTACAGACACAAACATTGTCTGTTTTTTTCGTTCATTTACATCAGACAATTACCCCGCCGGCTCCTGATTTACAAATAGTAATACATATAACACACACAGAGGATGGCTAGCTGCGTTTTTGTTGCGGGGAGTCGAGGGTAGCAGGAGTGCGGGCGGCGTTTGTTGAATGAAAAGTTGCACGAGAGAGACGTCACTGTTTATTTGCGCACAACAATGTCCCTTTGTCACGCAGTTGACTTCAGTCGTGCCACTCATTTTTGTAGCAAATTATAATGAGAGACGAGCCAGGCCCAAGTTACTTATTCTCGTGGCCACAGAAATGACCTGATTCTCTATTGTTGACAAAATAAATTGTGACGATCGACATCCAATTATTATTACATTGGGAACACAAAGGGAATAAAAGCATAAAATTTGCCGGAACTCAATTATTTGTTGAAAAAAATAAATTTTTTTATGGACTTGGGGTAAAATAATTAAGGTGTGGTCTCACTGAAAAAATACTAAACGATTTAAGAATGAATTGAATTGTTTAAGAATACAAATAATGTCACTTTAAAAAAAATGGCTCATCTTTTGAGGTATTATTTTTTTTATGAAATAATATATATATATAATTATATTCAACTTTTGAACAAAAATTAAAAAGGAAATCTAATTGTGTAGCCTTTTTTAATATCTTTTTTATAATTGATTTTTTTTTATTTTTTCCCATTAAAACACAATTTTTTTTCAATTCACAAAATATTATGGAGATATAAGTAAAAAATTGACAATTTTTTTTATTTCATCTTCAGAGGCAAAATCGCAACTCATCGCTGAGTGCTTTTTAATTATTAGCACGCAACTGCAGGTTAAATTCAGTGGCCGAGCAGACGAATATGCGAATGTTTGCAGCAAATAAGCATTATAATTATTTCATTGCAGCGCCACTGGTATATATAGCTCTGAGAGTGCAGCTTTTTTTGTTACAAAAGTGCATTAATTGCTTTTTTAAATGGGGCGCCTGGGGTGGAAACGTCGGTGTCCGGCGATGGCCGCTTGCCAGGCGCTGTCAGTGCAGCAGCAATAATACGTCGGCGCCGCCGTCAACTCGATATTGGCCGCGCGCACTCTGCACGCTCCGCGGCTCGCGTGCAATTTCCTAATGGAAATTATTTTGCATGCATTTCGCTCTCGCGATTCGAATCGGCTTTTGCATTTACATGTTGCATAATAATAATTCCGCAGTGCCAGCATCGAAGTAAAAATAATGAAGAAAACCGTGACCCAAATAATATGTGAATCGCCGGATGACATGTTGGAGAGGGCAGCAGAAGGATAAGATCCGCATCCAGCAGTTTTATGCAAGCCGCTCGGAGCAGAGATAAAAGAGAGCTGTTGTTGGAGCGCTTTCTGTTCCCGGTGGTTGCTCTGCTCCGGCAAGGGCAAAAAAGTTAAGAGAAAATATGCAAATCTTGTTACTCTCTATCTTGATGCTGGCCAAGAATGGAATGTAATGAATGGCACATTTATCTTTTCGACCGCTTAAACTTTAGAGCTGCTAGTCAGGCCGTGGCGTTAAGAAAAGAAGTGTGGCTTGAATATATAGAGAGGACAGCTACGGCTCGTCCGCACTGCTTAAATCAGCCCTAAATTGCCGTCCATATAATTTGGCCGCGATAGCTGCAGGGGGAGCGAAATGCTGAGAGTGAGAAAATTTTTAAACGCCGAACACGCTGATCGCGGCAAATCTCTTTAAGGATCTTCAAATCCTGTTCAGATTACGTTATTTTGTGGGGTAGAGGATTTGTACAAAAAATCAAACTGGTCTGAAATTTAGTTAAAGACTCTACATACAATTAAGTAATGCTCGAATCTTTTTAAATATATTTTCATACCTTTTCAGGTTTCATTAAGATCAAATTATGTTAATTTTAATTTAAAATTTCACTTCAGAAGGAAATAAAATCGAAGCAGTTGATTTTTGAGATTGTGTTTCGCAGGTTGCATAATCAACTCCATTAAGCAACGCCTAAGCCGGAAAATTTCAAAATGTTATTTATATATCTAGCAGTAAAATAATTAATAAATGCGACATTTAAGTACAGGTTTTAAGAAAAATGATAATATTTTAAAAAATATTCATGAATTGACAGAGATTGCAAATTAATTAACATTGAAGATGGAAGTTTTTTTTATGAAAACTGAAGCGATAAAAATTTATTAATTTTACAATTGATACAACGATGAAATTGTTATGAATAAATTAAACAACATAAACCGGCATAGACAATGAAAAAAACCTGTTTGCTAAAAAGTTCATGTTTGCTATCGAATATAATATGGAATAAATTTTTTGAAACATTTATTTTTTCATTAAGAAAATCACGAGTTTAAAGTACCAATGAAAAAATTTGACAGTTTTTCTTTTTGAATTATCCTTCTAAAGTAAAGAATGCCTTAATGCATGGGAAGTTTTGATCTTACAATTAATTGTGCTAACACCGGAAACAAACTTTGGGGTTCCGTAAGCATTCTAAATTAAAATCATCGCATAAAACTGTAATCCTGGCTTCTTAATTAATTGCCAGGCAGCTTCTTTCCCGTCGGGTATTAAAGAAGAGCGCGTCTCTCTCCATCTATGTACACGAGACGCCGGAATTTAAAATTCACAAAAGCCGTCGGTTCAAAGTCACTTTCGCCGGCGCCACTTGATTAACAATATCCCTGGCATCCTACTTGAGGTAGTCGGAGGCCGGAATTAAAAATTAATTGAATATTCATAAGCTCGGCAGAGCTCAAGCAACATCCACCAGTTACGAAAGCTGCTGGAGAGAGAGAGAGAGAGAGAGAGAGGGTTGACCGCAGCGGACGTGGCGCCAAGTGGGCGCACTCGCGGCAAACAACCCCGGAAATTGGCCGACGCCCTGCGAAAATTTTCAAATTTCCAAAGCATAAATTATCTGATCGCAATAATTCTTTCGAAAATGATCCAGAATTCTGGCAAAATAATATTTCGCACCTATATTTTCCGAACGGGGAGAAAAATTCTGCTCGGAGGCCAATAAAAATTTTATGCCAGCGACATGGGAATAGGGGGCGAGAGCGAGAGTGAGTGTTGACTTGGCACACATACAAGCAGCAGCCCCGACCGAGCTGAGCACCACCCCCTCCCCTCCCCCCTCGTGCGCACCGCCCGCCAGTCGTGCCAACTCGGCAGCGCTCGGGCCGGGTCCAGAGGGTTGCTTTTTCGAGCGGCAGGGAGGAAAATAGTCGAGCTTGTGTAGGCCAGCAGGGCGAAGCTCCGAGGCTGGCTCGCCGCTCTTTCGATCCCTCTCAAACTCCACCCTACATCAGCTGAGCTGCATGGATGTCTCATTGCGTTGACCGTCGCTCGCTCGCGTGACTCCCTCGTTAATCTGGCCGGAAGACAACTCAGGTGAGTCTGCAACTTTTTTCGCCAAGGAAGAATAAATTCCTCCTCTTCTTCTTTTGCATACACGCCGAGTGTACTTAGACACACTTTAGCGGTGCCCAGGGGACAAACGTACGGCAGAGAGAATTTGTATGCGCACCTCATCCACTCGGTGTACATCTCATTTTTATTTCAACGTGCACACGGCGCAGCAATCATGCATAATACACTCGCGCTTTTCATTTTAATGCAGAGAGAGCAGCTCTGCTAGCGTCTTCTCTTGTTCTTTCCAGCGAAGAACAACGCACTGACAGAATATGACATCCTCATTTCTAAATTCTTAATTTGCTTCAAATTCAGAAGGTGTACGTATTTCCTTGAAAACAAACTTCAAAATATTAAGAGATTTTTTTCGAAAATAATAAATTTTTAAAATAATTTTTTAGCCACTAATTTTTATTTAAATAATGGATTAAAGGATCCTCCACCATCTCAAACTTGATGTTGTTCCTCTCTCTGTTTCCCAATCGGCCGGGGGAAGTTTTAAGCTCTCCTCTCTCTCTTTCGCGTACACCATTGACGTCACCCGGCGGCTCGTGCAGCGCTACTCAACGCAAGCAAGCAAGGTGGAAGGAAGGAAATATAAAAAGTGCAAAAAATCGCAGCATATAAACTCGTCGTCTTCTTCTTTACGTCTAATTAGTGAACGTATGAAGTTCAATTAAAAGTTTTAATGAACGCCCGCGCGCGGTTGAAAGATAAAAGCCGGCGGTTCTTCTTTTGCCTCCGCTTTGTCACCGATCCACTCTCCGTTTGAAGTAGAGCCGCCGCCGATCGATATAGTTTCTGCGAAATCACTTGCTTATGTCCAAAGTGGAGAGAGAGAGAGAGAGGAAAATGTGGACTGCGGCGGTAAATGAGTCGTGGAGAGCGGCATGTGGCCCGAAACCGACTTTGCGACCGCACTCGTCCGCAGCACCGGCCCGGCACGGCCCTTGTGTGAGTTTCGGGCCAAGCTAGCTCGCATTTCAAATAATTCGCCAGTCCACTTCACCTTGCTGAAATAGCTCTACCCTGAAATTGACGTCCGCAAAGGAGAGAGAAAGACGATTCGCCGGCTAAATATCAACACACACAGCCAGAGGTAAATGTTTCTCTTTTGCATTTATTATAATGCACAAAGGCACCAGACTTTCGGCTTCTCGTGTAGATAAAAGGGAGCAGAAAAGCAACCAACTGCCACGCCAGCAATAAAAGGAGAAGAGAAAGGGCTGCGAAAAGAAGTGTGTGTGCTGCTGCTGCTTTTAAATATGTACTTTTTCCCCGGCGAGGGCTTGTTTCTGACAACGACTGTGAATCTTTTTTATATTCGGCTTTTTTTATTCAAAGCTCGATTTTTTTTTTAGTCTGCAGACGGTTGCGTGCGCAAATTAATTAGTTGTCTCCAAATTCACGTTCAACTTTTCTCCCGAGATAAAACTGTAGACTGGCGGAATGGAGTGATTTGTT